GTGCCTTAGGGGAATGTGCTCACGAGATCTGTGATAACTGAGTAGCATCGCTCAATTCTCAGAGCAGGGAAGATGCACCCACCAGCTCCCTCCTAGGTTCCTGCTGGAGGTCTACCCGGCCTTCTATACTCTGGGCCTGGGGCCCAGAAGGAGAGGTCTCTGTCAGAACTTGGCTCACAAACAAAGCAGCCAGAGGCAGTAAGAAACCGGATCAGGGGAGAGAATGACAGCAGACATGTATACACGGTTCCTGCAGGACAGAGGCAGTGGGAGGCAGCAGTCAGTGGCAGCGTGCCCCACCCTGCCCACCTCCAGAACTGTGGGGAGGTAGAGCAATCAGACGGGAGCTTTCCTATAGCCTTTCCTACTGGGGAGGGGATGGAGGAGTGGAGCCTGGAGAGGCATGGGTGCTGTTTATTAATAAGCAGCTCAACACAGTGGGAGGTTTCCTTGTCTAATTACAGAAGCTGTTGGAAACTGCAGGGAAGATAGGATTTATGGCCTAGATGACACTGCCTCTGTGTTGTAATTAAAAGTTATTTTTAATACCTCTGTTTGGTTGGATACTTTGGATTATTAGAAATATAGTCTGCAATTTAAAACCCGTGAAAGGGCAAAGAACATAACAAACAGGTAATACAATAAGCTTGCACAATGTGAAACGATTAAATGTTTTGACACTGGAGGTGGGAAAGAAAAGGAATCTCTCCCAATTAATTCTTGGAATTTCTATAAGAAAGGGGAAGTGAGAAACAAGCCAACAAGTATGCTAAACTGATTTTCAAAAGTAGCCCAGCTACTTATTTTATCCACTAACTAGGGTTTGGATACCACCCACCAGGAGTAGTCAGTGGGTATTTACACCATTCACCCAAAGCACCTGATGTTAACCTTTCAGCACCTTTCTTTGTCCCTAGTCCCTAGGAAAGGACGGTGTTACCCTAACAAGAGCAAGTCCTGGCTCAACCACAGAGCAGCGATAGGGGTCCAACACGAGCTATGGACAATACATGCTGGGTTTGATTTGGGTTTTGTGGTTAACCCACTTCTCTTCTCTCATGCAAGATTCCAGTTTCAAGAAGGGGCCAGACACAATGAACCCCAGTGGGAACCGCATGGTGGCATCCATGAGTGGCTACAGAATCAGCCCAAGATCAGGTAGGCGCCATTATTTCCTACATCCATTTCCAGATTTATTTCTCCATATGCACACCAGAGGCATTTTCTACAACAGTGGCTCTTCTTTAACAACAGGGAGGAGGGACTCTATCATATGTAATAGACTTTTGAAATTGTCTGATGAAAATGGGGAGGAGGAAGGCCCTCTAACTAGCACGCGCTTCCCAGATAACCTCTACATTTCATTTATCCATGCTATGAATCTTCTCATTAAAAGTGAATTCTAGGAGCTCATTATGTGAAATATATCATAGGAACCACCAGACATCACACATCATGATGAGACTATAAAAGCATTTTAACATCTGTTATTCAAAAATAAATTTAAACTCAGCTTCACAGGGGCCATACCAAGTTTATGGGATTTATCTTATATGGAAAAGAACCACTGTGCTTCTTTATTCTTTTCCCAGTTCAAATCAAGATCTGACCCACGCCGGGCTATAGAATCGCCCTTCTTACCTGCCACATTAATTTTCTCAAGTGCTACCAAGCTGGGAACAGCTGTGGTGGAGTTGGTTGAATTTGTGCCTGTGCCATTGATGACAAGGGTGTCCACCTTCGACTCTAACTTGCCAATGCGCTGCAAAATATTATCCAACAACACGGCGAGAGTTTTCTTCAGATCTGTAAAATAAAATGCACAGTTTAAAAATTCTTTGGTCACTGAATAGGTGTTCAATGCACATGCTTTCTCTTCCTCTCTCTGACATTAAGAAGGAAAAGTGGCCCGGTAAGTGTTGCTCAGTGGATATAGCACTGGCCCTTGGAATGAAGGGTCCCGGGTTCAATTCTGGTCAAGGGCATGTACCTCGGTTGAGGCTCGATCCCTGGGCCTGGTCAGGGCATGTGCGAAAGGCAACCAATTGACGTATCTCTCTCATATCTATGTATGTGTGTGTCTCTCTCCCTCTCTAAAAATCAATGGAAAAATATCCTCAAGTGAGCATTAACAAAAAAGAAAAAGAAAAGAAATAGCAGAGTCAAAACCTACTGCCCAAGGCCTGTCCCAACAAACCATATCTTAAAGATGACAGGGCCGTCTTCAAGTGTCCAGAAAGCACAAAACAACGTGGTCTGTTCTGGGACCCAAGTTGGGCAATAAATGACATAAATTATTTCTAGCCACTGGGCTGATGGAGAAAACTCCTGTTAGCATCCTACCAAAGCACTCTGTGAAATTCCTCCTCCGTATAGCACGATTCACCAGAGCACAGAATGACAATCCCCAAGGTCAGCCAGGTCCTGAAGTAGTTTCTGGATCAAGTTTGGTGTTATTTCAGTGTCCTGTACTGCAGTATGTCCCAAGTTTTTTGCAGTCTTTATTTCGGTTTGTTACATATGGTAACAATAAAAGCCACAGTTCCCAGATTTCTAGGCGTGCAGATTTAGAAAAAGACTTCAAGACCAGAGGCATTCACTCGTTCAAGAACTATCACACAGCTCCTGGGTGCCAGGCGCTGCCTTAGATGCTAGGGATATTCCCTCATGGCACTTCCATGCAAGTGCTGACTCCCTTTCCTACATATCTGACTGTGGGTAGGAGTGATACACTTCCCTCCAGACATGTCATCCTCACATACGTCAACATTTGATGAGCTGGTATATGAGCTTTTCCACATACACAGAGATGAATTTAGCCCTTCTCCTCTGGAAACTCATAATCAGAGAAAGATATGCTGACTTTTACATGTGGAAAAGGCAGAAGGACAACAGGATGCCCATCCATGTGGACAGAATCCAGACTCATTTATGAACTGGGAGTGGGCCAGTGGAACAGGAACAGTGTGGGTGCAGATGTGGTGAAGTCCTGAATGCAGACAAATGGGAAGCTGCTACCTGCCTCTATGCTGGGAACAGAGCAAACTCACTCTGAGCAGGTGCTCTGATCTGGCCTGGGAAGAAACACACACCTGGTTAACTCACCAACCCCAGGCACAGCCTACCAGCACTGGCCCAGAAGCACTCAGGTGGCCCCCTTCTGCCAGGCCTGGAGAGAAACTCATCAAAACAGAGGCACAGATATGCAATTAGTATGTAAATCTGTGT